TGTGGTCTATCACAGGTGACACAGGCCTGGGGCCGCAGAGCCCAGGCTGCCGTCCTGTCAGAGAAGGGTCCTGCCTCTGGCGTGTCGTTTGGTGGCGGCAGGACACGCCCCCGATCCACGGCACTTGTGAGCGTCTCACATCACGTGGCCCAGTTGTGCTCAGACCTCGAAGCAGGGAGATTCTCCTGGGTTACCAGGAGGGGGCGGGCGTGTGGCTCCAGTGGGGGCGGGCGTGTGGCTCCAGTGGCCCTTCCTCAGTGGCCACTTGTCCTCAGTGCCCAGATCCACAGAGCAATGGCTGCTGGGCTCCTCGGAGTCTGGAAATAAACCTGGCGTGGCAATCCACCCCCTTGCCCCAACTGCGACAAGTCCAGAGGAAGTCGTTTCTGTGTGATCGGCAGGAGCCCGTCAGGAAGCCAGCGGTGTAGCGGCACCCAGGCGGGTGGCCAAGTTCAGGCCGTATCTGCGAAGGACCGCCGCACCCCGGGGCACCAGTGCAAACGCAGGGTGCCCGTTGCATCTGCGCGTGTCCCAGTTCCTGTGTCGCCGTGGAGACCCCAGCCCGGCCCTGCGGGAGTGGGAGGCCGGCGCCTGCCCAGGTGTGCGGTGCGTGTCCCCGAGCCACACCACCGGCATGCGAAGAGCGTGTCCAGCCAGCGCGATGACAGCGTCCACACCTTCACAGAGCATGGGGAAGAAGGCAGCGTGGGGACCCAGGCCACGTCGCAGGACGAGGTTCTAGGCAGGGCGGCCTCCAGGTACTGTCCTGGGACGTGCTAGGGAGGAGACAGAAGAAGGTTCCAGATCACAGAGCCATCAGTGATGATGCTGCCACGCGTGGCCTGGCCACCGCCGGGCTCTCTGTCCCCCGAGAGGGAGCGGGAACTCGTCTCTCCTGTTGGTGTTTATGGAAATCGCCTGAGGCTTCCGGACTACGCCGAGTGCCGTGAGCGCCTGTTCCCCCCGGCGGCCCTGCCCAGGCGTGTGTCCTCTGCGGTCCCGGACCTGTCCCCAGCCCTTGCTATGAGCCACTTGTCCCAGCAGCCCTGCGCGTTAGGGAGAGTCATCACCCTGCGTTCTGGGTGACAGACCCAGCCCCCGAGGGTGTCGGGTGACTCGCCCAGGGCCGCCTGGCCGGCTGGTGGGCGGCAGGACACGAGCCCTGCAGTCCGCAGCGGCCACGTTGCCTTCTCACCTAAAGCGTTTGGCTGTTCCGGGCCGGAGTGTCTTCTGCCTGAGATGGAGAAGCAGCCGCTGCTCTGTCTGTGGCACGCCTTCCAGGACCAGGGAGGGTGCCTGTGAAACTGCTCCTTACGTGAAGACGCGGACCAGAACAGTGGAGGAATCTGAAATACTCTTGAACGGGGCGCGGTGTGTGACCGGTACCTTAGGGGCCCAGAACGGGCAAGTGCATGTGGCTTAATTCCCCAAGTGCCTTCTTGACTCGAGTCTCTCTCCCTCCCTCCCTGGTGACGGACGCCGTGGCCTTGTTAGAGGACGTGGCTCGGTGACGGGCCAGGTCGGGAAGGGAGGAGCCACACAAGGTCCCGTGTTTTCTGGCCTCTGGGCGAGTTCTCGGAGTGTTTGCAGAGCACGCCCATTCCTTCAGGGAAGCCGGGCTGGGACAAACTCTCGCACTGTGGTTCCGGCTGCGCATTCCGTCTGCCCCCAAGGGGGACGTGTGTGTCTGCGCTGAGTGGGAGGGGCCGACCCGCAGTGAGTGGGGAAGAGGCGGGAGACTCGGTCGTCTGCTCACCTGCGGGCCCAGCTGGCTCCACCTGCACCGAAGGGCTGAGCTTGCCAGAGCGGCTCCACCCCCCCCACCCTGCCCACCTTGGCCTTACTACAGATAAAGGGAACCTCATGCTGCAAGGAATCTGTCTTTTAGGACAGCAGTTCCCCAGCCTTTTGGGCACCAGGAACAGGTTTCACGGAAGACAATGTTTTCCATGGACCGGGGCGGGATGGTTTCGGGCTGACTCCAGCACGTTACATTTACTGTGCAGTCAGACCCCTCTGCCGATGACAATCTGTGTCTGCAGCCGCTCCCAGCACTGGCATCACCACCTCAGCTCCACCTCAGATCTGCAGGCACTGGATTCTCATAAGGAGCCGCAACCTGGATCATGCGCAGTTTACGGCAGGGCCCGCGCTCCTGTGAGAATCTCACGCCCCTGACCTGACCGAGGCGGAGCCCAGGGGAGACCCAGCGACGGGGACCAGCTGCAAACGCAGAAGGAGCTTCGCGCTCTGACCCGGAGCTCCCCCGCCTCCTGCTGCGAGGCTGGTTCCCAACAGGCCAGGGGCCAGCACCAGTCCTCGGCCCAGGGGTCGGGGACCGCAGTTTCAGGAGACTTGGGGACTTGGGGACGTGGTGCTACCCTCCAACAGGCTCCCGCGTGTCTCTTCTAAAAAGACGAAGAGGAAAAGCGAGTCAGAAGACGGTTCAGAGACTCGCCGGGCGAGGGGCCACGCCCCTGCACAGGACTCTGTCCCCTGCACCCCCCGACCCTCCCGACCCCGGCCCTTGCAGGGTGGGCCTGGGCCTCCAGTGGGGGCTCAGGACAGCCCACAGCAAAAGCAAGATGACTCCCCCACTGTTGACCTTAAAAGCCGTGCGCTGAGGCAAAATCACACCGGGAGCACTGAAGCTTCCCAGCCCTGTCTTCAACTCACCCCATCTTTATTTTTATTTATTTATTTTTGAGACAGACTCTCATTCTTTGCCCAGGGTAGAGTGCTGTGGCGTCAGCCTAGCTCACAGCAACCTCAAACTCCTGGGCTCAAGCGATCCTCCTGCCTCAGCCTCCCAAGTAGCTGGGACTACAGGCATGCGCCACCATGCCCGGCTAATTTTTTCTATGTGTTTTTAGCTGGCCAATTAATTCTTTCTATTTATAGTAGAGACAGGGGTCTCGCTCTTGCTCATGCTGGTTTCGAACTCCTGACCTTGAGCGATCCTCCTGCCTCAGCCTCCCAGAGTGCTGGGATTACAGGCGTGAGCCACCGCACCCGGCCTCACCCCGTCTGTGGAAGGGCGCCCCCAGGGGAGCTTCGTTTCCTTGCCCAGGTTGTTGCGGCAGCCTCCCCCGGACCTTCCCTCGGCTCAGCGGGTGCAGGTCTCGCCGCTGCCCTTCAGAGGCCCAGGTCCACAGACTGCGTTTTAATTCCCTGAGACTCCCGGACTTATGAAGCATTTTCTTAATTTTCTGTTGAGAAAGTCCAGCTGGTGCCCGGTCCCTGGGCGCCATCCCCCGGGGCTGTTGCTGGCAGCCTGCGCCGGGATGCTCCGTGAGCGGAAACTTCCGGCTGCGACTCTTCCCCCGTCCCCGCTAGCTCGGCCCTGCTCTTTGTAAAGGTTTCCCCGACCCACCTCGGGAGCCATCCTCACTGCTTTGTCTGGGCGCTGATGCCGGCTGTGTTGGAGATGCTGGTAATGAGGCAGCGCTCAGGTGACCCTCCGGAACCCTCCGGAAGCCGCTAGAAGTCCTGCTCTTTGATTCCGGAGTTCTGTCAGAGGCTGCGGCGGCAGGCCCAGCGCGCCCGCTCTGAGCAGAGCCTGTGCCTTGCTTTGATGAGTCTGTGGGGTGCCACGCTGTGAACTGGCTTCTGGAACTTAATTTTGGGGGTGGCGTCTGCAGTGCGTTCGGATGTCAGAGTTGACCGATTTTTCCCGGTAAATTTTATTTCGGTTTCCTGCCACTGCCAGTTTCCACTACCTGGAGAGCAAATTGGTGCAGGAGCCCAAAGCCATTGAGGGCATGGGGTTTCTGCACCGTTCACGCCTTGGCTCAGGGCTGGCGGGATGATCTGGAAGCTTCCACAGCATTGGGTATAAACGTGCGCACGCGTTCCCTCCCCCTCCTGTCCCTGCTGGCAGGCCCAACCCTGACGCCGCAGGGGACGGTCGGGCTGGCGCCCCCCACGCAGTGCCCGGGTCCCGGCCGGCGGGAGACTCGCCGAGTTTCTAAGTAGAGCCTGCGAGAGAAATGAAAGACACACAAATGAGTGCAAAGGCCCTGTGGCTTCATTGCCACCACCGAGCTGCCCCGCAGTGGCAGCCACTTCCTCCCGGTGGCCAGGGTCCGCGGGGACGGACGCCGCGCGGTTGACCTCGGGGAAGCAGGACCAGGGTGGAGGTCGCAGGGCCGCCGGGCATGTGGCATCCGGAGGCCCCGGCCCCGGTTGTCCGTCTGCCCCCACAGGGCGTCCTGCAGTGCAGGCTGCAGAGCCGATGCGCTAGGCCTCGTCCGGCCTCACCTGACCACCTGCCCGGGTTTGGGGGCACCTGCCGCACCCCCGGAGAAGGAGAGGAGGAAGGGCCCCCAGCTTCCCCTCTGCCAGCCTCCCGAGTCCCACCGAGGGCCATGCGGCGGAAGGCCCTGGAAACAGGCTGCGAGCAGGCGGGGATTGTTCTAGAAGGAAAGTTACAGTAGTCCGAGACTCAGTGGCATCGTACCTGGACAGACCCCCGTGTGGCCGACTTTGACTACGGTCGAGCCACGTGCCTGTGACGGGCCGTGTTCGAGCAAGGAGTCCACGCGTGTGCCGACACTCTCCCCTCCCCTTCCTCTCGCCTGGTTTTCCCTCTCACCCTCCTTGTCAGACTAAACTCCAGCGAGCTCCAGGATTTTACCGTTTATCGGCCACAGAACCGTGTATCTTGGTCAGCAGCCTGTGCTGGAATCTGACCCTTATGTTTATTCGCTGCGTGTTGCCAAACGTGTCCGTTGTGTAAAGGCAAACGCGGCTTTGAGAACATGAACGCAGGCGAGCATTGCATGAAGTCTCGCAGAGGAACGCTTCGCCTGGGACCCGAGCTCCACGTAGGACGGACACCAGGGTCTGGATCCCACCCATGGGAGCCGGGCGCAGTCCCCCACCACTCCTGCCCACACGCCTGGGCGTGGAGGGGCCCCGAGGGGCGGGGAGACCAGGCCGGCGGCAGCGGCGTTCACACGGGGGCGAGGGGACTCTGACGCCTGCTCTTGTTGTTGCAGACGACCACTCCCGGGTCCTGCTGAAGCCGGAGAGCAGCCTGGGCAGCTCGGACTACATCAACGCCAGCCCCATTGTAAGTACCCGCCCCACCCACCCACCCCCGGGCGCCGGGCTTTGCCTGGGGAGCCGGACGTGGCGGGACCACGTGGCGGGACCACGCGGGGGGCCTTCGGGGGACATGGAGTCGCTCTGCTCTGGGCCGTGGGCTGGCCGAGTCTCTGCCGCCCTCCCCCTGGGCAGAGCGGTCCGGGGACCTGTAGAGCCGCGTCCCGAACGGAAGGGCCCTTCTAGGCTTCTGGAGACAGTGGTGGTCGGGGGCACCCTCCTTTCCCGTAGCCACGTACCCCGTTTATTCCGGGGAGGTGGAGACGTGAGGCCCAAACCTGCCCCCTTTTAACCATCGGTGACACTGAGGCAGGTCCGAGCCCGTAGGTTCATTCCTTCCAGGTTTTTCCAGCAGCAAGATCCTTCCTAAGGACGAGCATGGTGGGGGGGGCGACACTCCCGGGGAGCAGGGGACAGGGGGCGTGTCCCTGTGTCTGGGGACGGTGCAGCAGCCCCCCCGCACCACGTGGCGGGAGCGAGACCTCAGGCCCAGCTTCAGGGGCTCCGCACCAGCCCACGCCTGGCGGCCCATCCTGCCAGCATGCCTTAACCTGGGTGTCCCCGGAACATTCTCCCCGTCTGGAACTTCGAGGGGGCTGGGGGTTGAGGGGCAAGCTGAAGCTGCCCCGGGGTGGGCAAAGAATGGGGTGCAGGGGGAGGTGTGGGGCCGAGCGGGTTCCGGGGAGACTGGGAGGATGGGGCTGCCTGGGCGCAGGTGGGCGGCATGGCGCAGGGGGAGGACAGTGGGGCCGTCCAGACGAGGGCGTTCAGGGACCAGGGTCGGTGGCGTTTTTAACAGGGGCAAGACTCGGTGCAGATTCACGGCAGACTCGGGCCTCGGCATTCCCCGTTTACACAGACTTTCCCGGTTCTGACCGCCAGGGATCACGAGGGCGTCTCACCAAGTCCCATGTTTGCATTTGATCAAAGCGGCACCGGCTGGTGCTGCCGCGCCAGGGAGGGAGGGAGACGGGGGTCGCCCCCAGGCACGAGTCACGTCCCACGGTCTGCACTCAGCCCCCCGAAGCCGCGGGCGAGCCCCTGGCCCTCTGATCGCGAGCACAGCCGCCCGGGAAGACATGCCCTGAGCCGTTCACACCTCCTGGCACTGCACGGCCACACCGTGAGCTTGATGCTCGGCTTTGGAAAGTGAATTCAAAGTGAGGAGCTGGGTGCCTTGTCTACACCCCCCGAGCCCAGGCTCCTGCCAGGCGTGACCAGGCCAGGAGGGAGTCTCCGCGTCACTTCCGCAGAGCCGGACTCCAGAGATGGGTTCCGTCTGCTTCTGGCTGGAGCTGGGCGCTCGGCCTTTCCTGGGGAGATGTGAGATGCTCAGTGTTTTTCCGTCAATTTTAACTCAAAATGTCAAACCAAAGACAAGCGGACGTGCCAGTCTCTCGTCCCACGGACCGAACGTCGCCGGGGGGAGGGTGGCTTGTTGGCGCCCGGCCTGTCCCTGCGAGGGGCGATCGCGACGCCAGCCCGACTTGGAGGGAAAGAGAAGCCACCTTCTGCCCGCGGAGGCCCTTTTCCCCGAGACGAGCCTCCCGGCGAGGCCAGAGCTAGAAGCGAAGCCGCCATTTAGGAGCCCGGGAGGTGGGGGCTCCGTGCCGCGGCTGGGCCCGGCTCACCTCCACCCTGCGGGCACCTGCTTGCAGGTGTCCGAGCAGCTGGCCGAGGCCTCAGTTGGGCCCCAGCGTGGACACGGGTGCCGGCGGCTGAAGCCGTGGACGGCGTTCCTGCGCACCCGGGCGCCGAGGCTATGCGCTGAGGACGGGCAGGATCCCGTGAGTCCGCACGGCTCAAGTCTCCCTTCCTCGAGCAGAGACGCGGGTGACCGTCCAGGCCCCGCCGGCTGCAGCTGGGTCAGCGCCGAGGCGAGGGGGGGTGATGTCAATGCACCTGTGCTTTGCCTTTGTTTCACACCGCCAATCTCTCTTCCAACCGGGGCTGTGAGAATGAACTAGAAGAAATCCGTGGTGCCTGTTCTTTCCGAAACAGCCCAGGCTACGATGACGATGACCTTCCTCGCGGCCGCTGAGTGAGGAGCTCGCAGTCGCGGCGCAGGGAGCCCCTGGCTGTGCAGAACAAACCGCGATAATTACATCTGTCACGCCTGTCCTCGGTCCTCATTAGACTCGGGGAAGTCATCCAGGAGTAAATAACGTGCGATCTCTCCTTTCAAATCGGAGGTCAGGAAAGCAAATGGGAATTGTGTTTCCCCGCACGGGGTGTCTGGGAGACGGGCCCGCCAGCTGCCTTCAAGGCCTCGCTTGGTCATCGCCGAGGAGTGTCATTAACACGGGAGCACACGGCACACACGTGTCATTACCGGGAGCAAGTCCGAAATCCCCAGTGACACTGAAAAATAAGCTGGATCTTCGCCCCTACTGTTTATCAAAGCAGGAAAAAAAACAAAAAAACGGTCTGAAGTCACAATGCAGAGGGCATCTGACTGGCTCAGGTGGGGACAGGTGGCGTCTCAGAAAAGAGTGAGAGCTCAGTATCCTAAGAAATCGGCCGGTGTGGAGCCGATTCCTCGGTTCCCGGAAAATATTCGCGACCAGACATCTGTCCGTATATGACGCAGTTTGTGTTCAGTATTTTACTTAAATAAATCTCAACGCGTAAGACTAAAACACAAAAATAATTCATAACAGTCCTTAAATCAAGTCTCCCACTGATCACCAGAAGCTACAATTTTCCGGTAAATTCCCACGTTAAGACTTGTTACCCGGAGAAGCATCCTGACATCTCAGGCCTGTCCAGTGCGTGTTGCCAAGAAAGCACCCGTGACATGGGCGGGCATGTCAGCGACAGGTGACGGAGGGAGCAGAGCAGGACACAGTGACGGGCACGCTCCTCCCCTGCGGGACCCCACAGCCTGCTCCCGAGCCGCAGGGTCACTTCCGGGACTCCGGGTCGCCGCGGCTGCTGGGGCGGGGGTGGTGTGGGGCGGGAACAGGCCCCTGCCCCCGTCCCCACCGGGGCGGCTCCCGCGTCCCTGCTCCGTTCGAGATCGTCACGGCTGCGGGACTCGCGTCCCGTGGTCTCCACGTGCCAGATGCTTCACTTTCTAAAATCAGTGTTACTTGGGATATTGGGGGAATATGGCTGAGGTTTAGGTGCAGATTAACGTTTCTAAAGATAAAAGCGGCCACCCACGCCCGGTTCACGGCTGCCATCCCAGAGCGCAAGGCAGATCGCTAGGTGGCTTTCACACGGCGCACTGAGTCCCGTGCAGGGACACGCCTCTCTTGGGCGTGTCACCTGGCGCTGCCTAGGCATCCGTCTCCCAGGGGACGGTGGGGGCAACACACATACACACACACACACACACACACACGCGGCTTCCCTCCTTCCTGAGAATACAGTGAGAGCGAGGTCACACCCTGAACCGCACTTGCCCTCCGACCGTCTGTTTTCGGGGGGGTCACGTGGCCGCTCCGGGTGGGGTGTCCCTGCCGGACTTGCTGTCACCCCACCCTTCCCGCTCCGGACACGCGGCCCCCCGGACGCGCCGGACTCTGTCTCCTGGGACCCGCCTTCCCACGCACTCACAGAGAAGGGCACACACGTGTGCGTGGCCACAGCCACCCGCCAGTGTGGGGTCTGTGGGCGTCCAGCTTTGCACGGAGGGTTCAGGCCACGCCCAGGACACTGAGGCACACGCAGGTGAGTCTGCGCACATGCGTGTGTGAGGAACCGCAACCGGCGGGCACTTAGAGACCGTGTCGTCCAGCCCCTCGCACGCCAGCCTCCCCCACCTTCTTCCGGCCGCCACTGAGGCCCAGAGACGTGGACTGACCGTGACTCCCGCGCAGATGGGAAGTGATCGCAGGGAGACGGAAATAGCAGGGGAGGAGGAGGGAGGATCGGGAACAGCTCTGGGAAAGGCCAGGAGAACCTTAGCCGACTTCCCCCAGACGCGCTTACCCTGATTCGAGAGTCTCACGTGGAGCAAAGCTTCCCTGTGTTTGGTTAAACATTCGCTCGGCTGTCACCCAGCTAAAGTCACGAAACCGCGACACGCACAGAACGCTCCTGCCCAGAGCAACCTCTCTTCCACGGAATGTCACGGGGCGAAATGATTGTCGCCGTCCTTCGAATTGCCGTTGAGCTGACGCCGCGTCTGCCCACGCCGGGACCCTGCCGTCTGCTGCCCCCCAGCGGCGGGGCAGGGCGGGCAGGGGGGCGCAAGGCCTGTCCGGCTCAGCCGCCGGGGCCGGGCTCCCGAGACCGACCTCCTCCCCGCGCCCATGTCTGTCTTTGCTCCTGTCCTGGGTGCCGAGCGGGTGCCGGGTTCGAGGAGCTCAGGACGCCGGCACCGTTTGGACCCATCACAGACGCTGCCTCCTTCGCCCTCCCAAGACCCTGTCCAGATTGTTGCTTGTGGTCGCATGTTTCTCGTCTTGAGAGCAACCGAACGTGCTAGTCTGAACATGCTCACCGTTTTAAATCGTGCTGCTGTCGAAATTGCTTTGGGCAGAAAAGCAGGTTTGCGAAGGGGGTGGCGTTTCCTCCGCACCCGTGACTATTTGCAGGAAGAGACAGGGGTCTCCGTAAATAGCTGTCACCCCCCACAAGCGCATATTTCAGGAAATCAAAACTCCTTACTCCCGCTAAGCATTTTCCCACTGAAACATTTTAATTGGGGCTTTCAGGGAGAGCAACGTAATTTTACCTGCATTGTGTGTGTTGTGGTGAATTTCAAAGCGAGGTCCGGTTTTAATTACGAATCGCTGAATCAGATGCTCAGAAAGCCTTTCTCCTGCACCCCCAGCTAGCACTGTGTTGCGGGTCTGTTAGAATAACTTGCATCTGCTCCTTTATGCAGTTCCCCCTTTTATGGTGGAGTAATTACAAGGTGCCGGGGTGCCTCCTCTCCCCGCTGACAGCCGTCAGATCTGCAACCCCGGGGCTGCGTGCGGGCTCCTGGATCACAGCCGAGGAAAACCAGCCTCCATCCACTCTTCCCCAAACCCAAACGCAGAGCCCTGCTCTAAGGTGAAGCTGGGACCTAGTCGTGTGCCAGCTTGGAAGTCCACGTGCTGAAAACTCACTCGTTCACTGTGTTGAGAAATTTATTTTTTTTTTTTTTTTTTTTTTTTTGAGACAGAGTCTCACTCTGTTGCCCAGGCTAGAGTGAGTGCCGTGGCGTCAGCCCAGCTCACAGCAACCTCAAACTCCTGGGCTCAAGCGATCCTCCTGCCTCAGCCTCCCAAGTAGCTGGGACTACAGGCATGTGCCACCATGCCCGGCTAATTTTTTTTTTTCTATATATTTTTAGTTGGCCGATTAATTTCTTTCTATTTGTTTTAGTAGGGACGGGGTCTCACTCTTGCTCGGGCTGGTCTCGAACTCCTGACCTTGAGCGATCCACCCGCCTCAGCCTCCCAGAGAGCTAGGATTACAGGCGTGAGCCACCACGCCCGGCCGAGAAATGTATTCTTAGTAATTATGTTTAAATACAAAGCACCTAAAATCTTTACTCAAACCTGATACCAAAGGAGCAAATCCTAGTTCCAGACGCAGAAGGACGAGGAGCAGTGTGCCTGGATCAGCAGCCGGCAAAGCCACGCTCTCCTCGGGGGTCGGCCGCCACGGCCCTCCTGGGGGGTACCGGGAAATGCAAGAGGTGGCAAAGATGACGCGGTGTTTCCATGTCCTTTTGCAGGCGGCCCGGGCTTGCCAGCCGGGCACAAGCCCAGACAGCCCCAGCAAGCTCCTCTGTCCTGCCGCTGCCCAGAACTTGGCGCTCGGTTCTGCTTTCTTTAAGTTTGTTTCCCTGCTCAGCCAGTCTGTGAATTCAGTGTTATAACAAAGGTCTCTTAAGCCAGACTTCCCTATCAGAGCTAGCAGGGTGCATTCGGGCCAGTCAGCAGGCCGGAGAGCCCACGCCGGCCCCCCGTCTGGGGAGTAGAAATATCGATCGGAAGGAAAATGCTCCCCCAGGCCGGAACCCCGTCTGGGGAAGAGCCTGGCGCTCGGGCTGGGGTGCAGACACAGGCCCTGTAGCCGGTGTGCCGGGCCCCCCTTTTCAGGATAAACAAAAACAGGGAAACTCTCTCAGGGACGCGGGGAGCTGGTGTGGATTCGCGCTTGTAGGACGTGGCGAGTCCGGCCGTGCCTCAGGGCTCTCCCCGCGGCGAAGAGTACAGGCTCCCCCTCCCCCGCCAGCACCTGCGGGTCCCACGGGTGGGCTCGTGACACTGAGCAGGGGGGGACCCCCACAGATCGTCCACACTGGTGTCCTGACCGAGCGCTCCGGCGTCACCTGCCTGGTGAAAACGCAGCCTGTGGGGCTGTGGCCGCCCATGGAGTGAGCAGACGTGGTGGCCGGGCTCGGACGGGACGATGCCACCGGGGTCTCTCACGTCACGGCAGCAGCCGCGAGTCAACAGGGCGCTGGGTGCAGGGCAGGCACCTCCCCGCCCGGGCCTGGGCTCTCTCCTGACTGTCATGACCCCTGGCTAACCCTGTCTCCCTGCGGCCCCTGTCTCCGCAGATGGACCACGACCCCAGGAACCCCGCCTACATCGCCACCCAGGGACCGCTGGCTGCCACCGTGGCCGACTTCTGGCAGGTGAGTTTCTTTAATTAAAATCTCTTCTTGTGGAAAGATCTTAATAAGTCAGCCGTGAACAATGTCTTTGGATTCGCTCAAGCCAGTTCCAGCTTGTCCGCAGGTGCCTGTCAGACGTGAGTTGATTTCAGGATCTACGTGGGTCCTTCAGTATTTTTATGATCGATCTTTTTTTTTTTTTTCAAAGCTTGAGTGTGAAAAAAAATCCCCTTTGAGAGATTTGATGCTTTCCAGATCTTTACTTTTTAGCCGTTTTACAATTTCGCTTCTTGCAATAGAAAAGTGAAGTTAGTAGGTGTTTAAATTGTTATATTTTATTCAGATGTACCCTCTTATCTATGAAGGCTGAAAGATGGCACTCGCATGATAGTTCACCTTCCCGGTGGAGTCTCTGTGACGCGTCCTAAAGGCCGGGCTGTTCTCTTGTCTCCGGGTCGACCCGGACCCCAGACCGAGGATCTGGCGTTGGGAGCGGGCACTGGCGTCAGCTCATGGCGGCAGGATTTGGGGGACAGACAGCCCCCCCCAGCCCTCTCCCGCCCTGCCTCCATTGTCAGCCATGGGCGAAGCCACACGGGAACGGGGTTCGGGAAGTGTCCTGAGGGCCACCAGCACAGCAGTGAGGTCCTACTGTGCGTCCCCCAAACACGGCATGGGGGCTCCCCTAAGGAGAGAGGAGCTGAGGGCAGGGACGGGAAAGGAAGTGTCACTCCCACGGCGGTGGCCAGGGGCTGTGGCACCTACTCTGCAGGGACACACGCAGTCGAGCCGTGGCAGCACGTTTGTTCCATGTCCCTAGAGGTGACACCGTCCACAGTCGGGTCGCGGGTGGAGGACGTGCATTATGGGCTCAAGACAGGCAAGTTCTCTCCTCCCCCAGACTCGCTGCCCCCCCCAGACTCTGCTCGCTCCCGGCTCTGCCGCCGGCCCCCTCCGGACGCCGCCCGAGTCGGGGGTTTCCTCCGCCCGCCCCTGCGGACAGGCCCCAAAGGGCTTCCTGGAAGAGTCTGGAAGGGACCCGTGTTGACTAAGGGCCGCCGAGAGCCTCGTGAGCACGTTAGCAGACACGCGGGTGTCGCCATCCCGTTTACGGGCGGGGCAGGCAGGTGTCCAGGGCGGGGACGCGGCCACATCTGGGACGTGTTGGCGTGGCCGCCGCTCCCATCTGCCTGCGTCTTCGTGCAGCTGGGGGACTAAACCGGATCTCTGGGTCACACGGTGGGACCGTCACCCTTGGGCGCTGACGTGGGTCTCAGGACGCCCGGGGCCACCCCCCACGGCTGCCCTGGGCTCCTCCGTGTCATACCCGTGGGGAGCCGTCCTGCCCACGCGAGAGGCCCCGGTCAAGGACGCTCGGCGCCCCTGGGCCACGCCGCTGGGGCCGCGCTGCGGGAGGAGGCTCTGGTCACGCACAGCTGTCCAGCCCCGCCCCAGCTTCGGCCCCAGGGTCCCTCGTGAGCTGCCCTCTGCTGCACACGCACCCTCGGCTCCTCGAGGAGCGGGAAGGGACCCCGCACCCGGCACGGGCTGGCAGGACGGAGAGCAGAACCCCAGCACCCCGAGTGCCACCCGCCGTGACCCGTCACCCAAAGGTGCACATGTGTGTAGCGTGTGGTGCTCCCACACGTGTGTTCTCTCACCCGCACCGGCCACAGTCCCCACCCCCCGGCTTCCGGTCCATCCCTCCCGCGGAACCCGCTCCTGGAGGACACATTGGCACCTGACACAATCGCCGGCGTCTGTCACCACCTGTCACATGCCGGGTCCCGTGTGAGGGTTCCGCGTGTTCACACGTGGGCTGTCGGCTCCGTGGGGCTCTGGGGCTCACAGTCTGCCCATGTTCCGGGGCCAGCGCGTGGAGGAGGAGCTGCCCTTCCAGCCACACGTGACAGGTGGCCGCGGTGGTTGGTGGCCGTTCACGTCATCGGTGTTTACGAGTTACCAGACGCGTTAGATTGTCCAGGAGCAAACATTCCTGAAAGGGACAGAAACTGTCTCTAAATGGAGTGGCTAGAGAAGGTTCCAAGCGAGAGGAAGAGCAGCACAGCCCGAGACGCGCTCAGTCGGCAGCGGCCACACGGTTGGAGAAGCAGCGGGACCCTCGGAGGGCAGCCGCTGTCCCAGGACCAGGTGCTGGCCTCCGTGGGCTCCCCTCCTGCGTGTGGCCGGGCATGGCCCTGCAGAGCCTGTGAGACACGTCGTCTTCACGTCCTGGGTCGTCTAGAGACACCCACCATCGGGCAACAAGGCCGTAGGGCGGAGGTTGGAGAGAGTGGAATAGGTTATGTGGATCGGTGTGCTGGGACTACCGTGTTTCCCCAAAAATAAGACCGACCCATACAATAAGCCCTAGCAGGATCGCTAAGCATTTGCGCCATAGAAGCCCCACCCCGAAAATAAGCCCTAGTGACGGGCGTGGCTACACAGCGCATCTGCACAACCCGTGCATGTCGTTACGGAGCGGGAGAGAAGACGAGCAGCCCTTCTCACCTGCCCCGTCGTGACAGCGACTGTCCCAGAGGTGACCGGAGAGGTGCGGGCAGCCCCACCAACAAGGTCGGCTCCCCCTGTCAGGTCCCGGCCATCCTGTGCATGCTGCAAGCTGAGGCTTTGAGGGGAAAATAACACATGCCCTGAAAACAAGCCCTGGGGTGTCTTCCTGAGGAAAAATAAATACAAGACCCTGTCTTGTTTTCGGGGAAACATGGCACGCATGGCAGGACAGCCCCTCACGGAGCAAACGCCCTGATCCGAGTCTGTTACGATGTGACATCAGTCTGTGGTTTTCTGTTCCCCGTACGTCTGCCCTCTGTGGTCCCAGTGGTGTTTTTGTGTTTTAATTGGCATAAAATGATTTATTTCACATTTTTATAATTCCCCTTGAAGTCAGCGGATGGATAAAACCGCCAGAGAGGACCCTCTGCTGTGACTGAGGTTAGGCGACCACCACACAGGTGAGGGGCTGGTTAGTTTTCTTTTACAAATGACAGTAATCGGAAAACACACGGAAATCACATTTTTATATAACCAAAGTGGCTTTTCTTATTAAGAAAGTCATTTAATTCTCTTCATTTTTATCAAAAGACTGTTGTCTTCATCGCCGCTTCCTAACAGAAACGGCCTCTCTCGGGTGCCAGGTTTTGCTGTGTGGGCGCGGCGCAAACCCACGGCTGAGTCTCGGTGTGTCAAGGAGCAAGGACAGACCGGGCACGGTGGCTCTCGCCTGTCATCCTAGCACTCTGGGAGGCCGAGGCAGGAGGATCACTCAAGGCCAGGAGTTCAAGACCAGCCTGAGCAAGAGCGAGACCCCGTCTCTACTATAAATAGAAGGAAATTAACTGGACAACTAAAACTATATAGGGAAAACATGGTGGCGCATGCCTGTAGTCCCAGCTACTCGGGAGGCTGAGGCAGGAGGATCACTTGAGCCCAGGAGTTGGAGGTTGCTGTGAGCGAGGCTGATGCCACGGCACTCACTCTAGCCCAGGCAACAGAGTGAGACTCTGTCTCAAAAAAAAAAAAAGGAGCAGGTGCGCCGTGGCCCAGACCTGTGGTCCTTTTCCAGGACTTAACTGGAGCGGCTCCAGGGGCCGGGTCTGCCCAGACAGCTGTCCGCGTCTCGGGGGTAGCGCTCTTCCCGGACGGACGTGAGCAGATTCCAAGCTAAGGTTTCCTCTGCCGCCGGAGCCTAGCAGGACACCTGTCACTCAAACGTCCCCCAGAGGCGGAGCTTCTGCAGATCGCCACCGACCTGTGAGGACAGAGCTGGATCTGAAAGCCCACTGCTGGCACCTGGGATGGCGGGCCGAGCCGGGGCTGCCTGGATCCGTGGCCGGCGGCACATTCGGACTGGGGAGCCCGGACGCGTCCACGAGGGACATGCGGAGACACCTTCCTTCATCGTGGCCTCGGTGCTGATCTGAATCACAGCCTGGGGCTCTGCCGACAGCCAGAGAACCCGGCAGGCTTGGCGGCGTGGCGTGGGCGTGGCTGGGAAAGGCCACGCTGTTCTCGTTTCCCACGGCTGCCGCCGCCGCATGCCACAGATCCGGTGGCTCAAAACAACGGAAGTTGCTCGCGCGCAGCTCCGGACGCCGGGAGTCTGAGGCCAGGGTGTCGGCCGGGCCGGCTCCTCCTGGGGGTTCAGGGGAGTCTGTCCCGGGCCTGTCCTGCTCTCGGTGCTGTGCTCCTGGGTGGGCACGTGCACCCCACCTCTGCTTGCCTGGTCACGCGGCCTCCCCTGCCGTGTCTCTGTCCCTGTCCCCTCCCCTCGCAAAGGCACCAGCCAGCGGACATAGAGTCCACCCTGACCCTGGCCTGTCGCTTGCTCACCTGCAAAGACCCTATCTCCAAACCAGGCCACGTTCCGGGCTCCAGGTGGACGTGGATTTGGGGCAGGGGACACGCTACTCTACACAGCACAGGGGCTCAGAAGAGAAGAGGCCCCTGCCCTGCTGGGCAGCCGTGGGCCGGGTGGCCCCCCACAAGGGCCCAGAGGGAGGTCTGGGTGGGGCAGGACAGGGCAGAAGAAGGGACGGGGGACGGGCACGTCCGGTCTGGGCTCACGTGGCCCCAGCAGCAGCACTGACTGCCGTGGGCCCCTCGCTGCCCCTCCCGGCCTTGGCACCTTCCTCCAGTCCTGCTCCAGGTGGCCCGAGCCACCCGAAGGCAGCTGGCCGTTTGCCACCCCTCCTTTCACACTTCTAGAAAGAGCTAGAAAACTGGGCAGGCTTAAGAGAGTGCCTTGCTGTGGCACGCCGCAGTGGCTGGACGTCACTGGTCCCAAGCCTGGCGGAGGTTCAGGCGGCGTGGTCTCAGTGCGTGGCGAGCGTCGGCAGAGGTGAGATGCAGTCGTGGACGCGGGGTCCCCGCCCTGGGAGACAGACGCGCCGTCACCCAGGAACGGGGCAGCCTCCCCGGGCATCGGAAGCCTGGGGTCCCCAGCCTGCCGGCGCCCAGGCCGCAAGGAAAACGTGCGTTCCCAGCCATGTGCACCGTGC